ATAATGCGTTAGGAGCACGAGTGTCCAGGACGCTTCTGCAGCCAAGCCTTAATTCATCTAATTACTGATATATAGTTATATATATATATATATAAAATAATACAACATAATATACTTTATACATTTATATACCATCTGGCTGTTTTTTAAACCATCTGGCTGTGGGTAAAAAAACGGATGCCCAAACCAGGGTAGGTCGACCTCCTTAGTAGTCCATAATGATGATTTCGGTGGTCAACCCAGGTAGCCCGGTTTTACCCACTGCCATATATCTGCCTGGGCTAGTGCACTTCTGTTCGCACTGAACACATCGAGTTCCTGGTCTCCAAAAACTCGTGAAGACCAAGGGTTCTTGATACACGATGTCAAGTTCCAGAGTCTTGCTACACGAGCGTGACGTTGGAGTGGTGCCCTTTCCAGCCTCCAGTCCAGAATCAAAAACCAGCTTCATTAGTACGGGAACCTCCGAGTTTGCAAACAGGTGGGAGTACTGTGGGATCTCCCCATCTTCATGTCCAAGGGTATGAGCTCCAGACGTTGACCGGTCAGGTCCTCTTCATTCCTTTCCATGACTCTCCGGCCTCCCCGCGGATAGAGGCTGATAGCTGGCACCAGTGTAGAGCCCCAGCGGACGGACCTAGAGAAAACGGACAGGTGACCTGGGGGAAAGGGCCACATCTACCACCCCCGCTGTGGGGTGGTTAATAGACACCCATTGAGCCTGGTAAGGAGCGATACACTTGGACACCCCGTTTCAACGGGGGGGCCCTCGTAACGGTCGCATCCGACTTCACAGGTCAACACTTGCGACCTAGGGCCCTTCCCAAGCCTTTTGTCTAGAGGTACCAGGTCCAACAACAACTGCCAAAAAATCGCCTAATGGATCCATTGCCACCCTCTGAGAAGGTTGAAGACCGATCTGCACCAGCAAAACCAACATCTCACAAGGGCCCACAGTTTAGGGTGGTATGGACACGAACTCATCACCTTTATAGCTGTGTCACGTCGCTGCGTGTCGGCGAAAAGAGCCGACTTGCTTGGCTTGGGAGATGTTGAGAGAAGCGAGCCGGTCTGGCGACTTGGCATCCTCCCAAGCTGGATGTGGGTGAACAGAACCGGTTTACCGCGTGTGTAGGTTTTTTTTTCGAATCTGTTTAAGGCTTGAGGAGGATGCAAGCCCGGAGGTGTACCTGTGAGAAGAGGGTTTCAGCTTTGTGATTGGCATCAAAGGTGGAAATTGAAATGCTGGCCACAGCGTCAACCCTCCACACTGTGCCTTCCTCAAAGCCTAGGGCCGTGGCGACAGGCACATGCACCCCGGAGTGCCAATAGATCAAGGCCCCCAAGTAGGGCGACATGCACGCGAAGCTATTCCCTCAGCTGCGCGCAAGCGCGGTGCTTTCTTGGTGGCACAGGGTTGGAGTTTCAAGGCAAAAGCTCGGGTTGGAGTGGCCCTTGCAAGAGACCTATGCCTATGGACCTAGAACGGTCTTAGTAGATGCTGTTTCTGCAGTTTCCGAGGTTTCAGATGCGTAGAGAGATCGATCTTGACACAACTTCAGGGATGCAGGTTGGGAGCTTTGCGCGAAGTGAACCTTCAGTCTCACCGGTCTCGCAGCTCTCAACCGGAGACATCCCCAAAGTTAAGATCCTACAATGAGGTTTCTGATCTTGATTTCAGGTCACTTGCAGATCCTGAAATCAGAAGGGCTTGATCAACTGAGTATTGTATCTGCTCACTTTCGAGGGTTAACTTACTCGTGTTAGGCTTCGAACTGCCCGCGTCTAACCTCCCAAGTGAAAGTGAAAGGTATCTAGTCATGGTACCCTCCAGAAGAAATAATCTGTCAGATTCTGTCCATTGTCATTCATGCCCTGCGGTCTGACCAGCAACATTCATGCCCTGCGCAGCAAACCGAAACCGAAACCGTAGCCCAGTGACAGGTCCGACGCGTGACGCGGTCAACATGAACTCTGAACCGACTTGTTGGGGATCAAGGCCTGTTCACATATGTTCACCCATCCCGTGGTGCGATTTCGTTTGAACCGGCTGCCGGATGTTCTGCCTTCGTAGCAAACACCAGCCAGGCACGTCGTGCCTGGTCCTGCAGAACTGATTCCTGCAATCAACAAAGTGTCCATGGAATGACTTGCTCGAGGATGAGTCCGGTCCATGTTTGGATGGGAAAGTGCTTCACCCCAAAGATAAACCCCCAATTGCCTCCATTGTTCTAACTCAACAAGAATAACCAACCGGATAGATGAGGTGTTGTCTTCTATTCGAGAGTGGAAGGTCTTGCTGAGATCAGCGATGTCAGCACTTTGGTTGTTCAAGATTTCAGCCCAAGACACTGGGATTCACCACCAACTCGTCCCGGAAGACCTGACGAGGCCCGTCGCTTCGTTCCCCAGGCCTCCCCGGTTCCTGGTTTCGGTGGGTTCGGTCGATTTGGGCCTCCAAAGGGCCGCGCCCTCCCGGTGGAAGGTGCAAAGATGGTGTTTCAGGGAGGCAGAGGAGCTCCCAAAAGACCTCCCGTGGCTTCAGTGGTGACGTAGTCTTCTGTGTACTCAATGAGTTCTTTGAGCGTTGACAAAAGCGGGCATGCTCGTCGCGCCTTTGCAAGGACACCTGTGGTTTGAGCATCTTCGACCCAATTCGCTGCACATCCCAATCCAAGGCATCCCACTCCGAACTGTCGTCCAGCCCGCCTTGTAGAAGTTCTCCTGGAGAACATCAAGCCGATTCTGTTGCGTTCCCCGCACGCAGATTCCCATCCCCATAACCCACAGCTAGCCGCCACTGCTTGAACAGCTGTCAGCTTTCAGCACTGTTATCATGACACAATATTGATCTTCTGGACCAACCGTAGACGTCTTTGGGCGGCCTTTGGTGCAGTTCACAGCACCCTCTCGCGCGCGGTGCAGTGCTGTCTCCGCTGTCTCCGGCTGTCTCTGCCCTCCTGGGGATGCCCAGGACGCAAGTAGGCACCAAAGGGGTTGCCGATGTACCCAAAGATCGGCTTTCCAAGGCCTCACCACCCCGCGCGAAGCCTCGCTTCGGCCGCTTCGGCGGTTTCCGGTTTCGCACGTTTTGAGCCCAGAGGTGAAGCCGGGGGTGTTCCGGCAACCTGATCTAGATGTGGTGTATAGGGATAGCCATGGAGAGAAAGACCGGTAAATGCCCCAACTGAACTTGGACACCTCAAGTTCCCGCAACAAGTCGCGTAAATGCCAAGGAGATCGTTCCTCAATCGGCAGGGACCACGGCCCTCTCCCTCCACCAGTGGTCGGTCCCTTCCGTCACCCCGAGCACCCGGGCCCCGAAACATCTGGCAAAAGAACGGCGGCTCGGAGCACATCAAGATGTGCGCCCGGCGGATGCCGGACTCCACCTGCGGGAGCGGACGGGGAGCGAGTCTCGCGAGTCGAGCGAGCGAACGGCGTCTGGCGTCTTGGTGGGTCGACGGGTCGGAAGAATTCCGCACAGGGAAAAGAAACGGTGAAGCTTCTAAGTGCTAGAAAGCTTTATTACTAAGAAGCTTCAAAGGCATAGAAAGCTTTATTGGTACTGGTACCGATGGCCTCCAACCTAATAGGGATGGCCTCCACCTAGTAGCTACTTGGGGAAGACTTCTTTGACTGGACGTGAAGAACCGAGTCCAAGTGGCCAATTCTTCTTGTACTTGATGCTGAAGATTCATTGTTAAAAAAGAAAAACTGGTGCACCACAACCATGCAGCCAAAAAAACTCGAAGGAAGAGTGACTGGACACTGGACTGCTTCACAGAATCATACAGCCTACCCTCTTTTTTTTCCAAATCACCAGAGTTCTCACAAATCCACCAATCACCAGCTGGGTTGATCAAACAGTACAAAAACACACGACGCTCAACCACTCAACCTCTCCCTTCACCAAAAACCTCCAGCACCAAAAGTACTACAGTATACCACTTAGACTTAGCCTGCAGCAAGAACTGGATTCACAGATCTCCTCCCACCTGCCGACACGCGGTGGCATCCGTTCTTCGTCCCCGCACCCTCCGTTCTTACCCCCCCCCCCCAAACCGTTCCCATCCGTCTGCAGATCGGTATTCCCTGGAACTAACGAAGTGGCGAATGGCCCCGTAAGGAAGACCATGAAATCCACTACAAACAGGTGGTCCACTTCGGACGTTCCAGGGAGAGGGGGATCGAACCAAAAAACCGCTCCTGCGCGAGGGATTGGAACTCCTTCTCCAAGGTCTCAGCGGCCGAGAAGTGCGGAAACCTCGGGCGGGTTCTCGAACGATCGACGCATCACTCGGGAACTCTGGGGGCTGGGGATCCGGGGATTCCCAAGCTGGTACGGAACTTCCAGGACCGGGAATGGAAGCGGGTTGATGTAGACCCAAATCCGATCCACTCCATGTCTACTCACCCCGCCCCATTGCAACGGGTCAGCTGTCGGAACCTCATCCCATCTCATCCCATGGTTCAGCCTGGGCACTTATTGAGCTCGTTCAGGGCTAAGGCACTGGGAAGCAGATGTCGTTTCAAAAGCTCCTCGGTTCTCTGCCGATCCTTCCGGTGAGCTTCAGCTTCTTCCGGGAGAAGCATGGGGTTCCAGTCACACGATTTGCCCAGCACGGGTTCTTCTGTATTGCCTTGAGATTTGAGCCTAGAGAATCAGGTGAAACTGATGCTTCCAAAAGCTAGGGCTCCCTAAGTAGAGCACAAGGTCTTTGCCGGCCAGAGCTTTTGGCAGGGTAGGGAGCTTGATCTGGCGTAAGCCCAACGAAGACCTATACATGAGTAACCTTAAACGCTCAATTCTTGGCTTGGAACAGGTCTAGCCCGTTGCCCAGAACTATAGTAGTGCCTCTGCCACTACCTCTGCGCTATCTGGATTGTAGGTTCCTTGAACATCAACTCCTATCCGACTCGGCACTCCGTCCGGTCAGGGCCCTAAAACGAACCTTTCGCAGTGGTTTTTGGGCCAAGAGGCCACCAAAGGCAGGTTCTCAGTGCATCGGCCCAGCAAGTTGCAATAGTTCCGCGCCAGCACCATCCTGCCAACGCCCGATTTCCGGACTTCGAGTCGAGGCCAGGGCACACGGAGAGCCTGGCAACCACGCTGCAATGGACAGAATGACAAGATCTATCATAATGAGAAACACAAGTACAATGCAACTGATACTTAAGGATTGTTATACAATAACCACATCACATATTACCACCAAATACAGTCCTGTGCTCAGTGCTGTCCATCTACTTTCAACTACTTTCAGGGCCAGGAATTCATGCACGACAACACTGGGCTCTGTGTAGCACGCTCAGCACTATCTAGGATGATGGTTTACACAGTGTGCTGGTGTAGATCCTTTTCTGTCCTTTTCCTTCAACAATAGTATGAGGACCGTCCATGTCTGAATAATGATGTATTTGGTCTATTTCCACCGTGAGGGCTTTCCATTGTGCATCACCCAGTGCGGGTCAGTGACCCCTGGAATCGATCCCAACCATATGTCCGTGGGAAGAAGTGGCGCTCCACTGGGGCACCCTGCTCCACGCTGATCCTCCAGCCAGAAGCCTCGGCAGGATGCGAACCCTTTGTTGTGCCAGGTATGGTGCGCCGTTGCCCCAGTAAGCTCTCCTCTACATAGCGGGCTGTGGTTGCTCTCTTGATTGCCAGAACACCCTTTCATCTATTCATGCCAAAGGTTAAGACACTGCTGGATCAAGTGGTTTGTCTCCATGTGATAGGAGACATCACCAAATAAGAAGGCAGCGATGGGTAGAAGGGGTCAATGAACATATAGACTTGGGAATCCAGGTCAGCCACTACCTATCAGCAGCCTTGTATAGCCAGATTTGGCCACATGGAATTGAAATGGCCGAATCAATTGATTCACACAGCTGAGGACATCCTGAACTGGCTAGATCCCCAAAATGAGATCGTTTTGCCTTGCCCAACAAAGGGTATCTACAGTAATTGTTGTAATTAAACCAGTGTATCAGCATTGGGAGTCTACCCCCAAGCTACTGGATGATTCACATGCAGAACCGGTCTATGTCTTTCCCATGCCGATGATCCGAGAGTTCTTCTCGGCCCTTCTCCCCCCTGGCGAGCCAAGCTGCCGCTAGGATCTCTCGCCACACACTCTCCGGCTCGCTCGCCAGCGTCGCCTGGGGCGAGCAGTCGAAAAAGCTCGGTGGCAGCTCCGATTGCAGCGTCCTCTGGCTCCGGTCGTGGCTACAGGCCAGGGCGGAGCCCCTGGTATGTAGCGTCGGGACCGCCACCAACAAGCAGACCTCAAAAAAAAACAGGTCAAAGGCCGGACATCAACTCAGGTTCGGAGGAGAGGGTGCTTTCAGAGTTGGTGATGGTAGAGGAACTGATGGAACTGATCACGGAAGCTCCAAAATGAATTTCAGACATCACCTCCCGGTTCCAAAACACGTGGACCACGTTGATCGCGCCATTGATCCGCCCCACCATCTCCGAAGTATGGCTTTGATTCACCCTTTGACCATGGACTCTTCAGGCCTGGGATGAACTCTCCTCCAGATGTCCACCTTCAACTTCGCTCTTTTTCCTTCACCCAAAATACCTCCAAAATAGCTAGAAGTAGGACCTCCACCCCATCCATGGCGCATCTTCTCCGAAATCTTCCACCTTCTTCCTCCCCGTTCGGGGAAGACCCAGCGGCTTCTTCTGCCTCCCAGCGGCGTGAAGTCCAAAGGCCCAGACGCGCACCTGGCGGGGCGCGGGGCGGTGGGCCACGAGACGAACCGTGGAGGGCTGACATAAGCGGCTGCAGGGTTTTGAATGGGAAAACAAGCCATAGCCGTTTGCTGTATCTTTGTCTGCTCCTGCTTCCAGCGACAGCTTACACAATTTCCACGTGGCCAAGTCTAACTGCAAAAACAGATGGCTGATCTGGTGCAAAGTAGATTGCATGAGGGTCTCTTAGATTTTGGATCTTGTGGCTGTTGAAGTAGCTGCTCAATTCTCTCCACGTTATTCCCTCCACGTGCACGAAGCAGTTCTGTCTGCCATCTCATCGTCGACCACCGGTTCCACGGAGCTCATCCTGGTTTTTTGCTCGACAACCGTTGTGCCAAACACAGCAAGCAATCACCTTCCATGCGTTTTGACGGCTCAGACATGAACAGTGCCATTAAGCCTGACCATGCGTTCTGGGATGCGATCCGACGTCCTCGAAGGCCAGCGACCATCATCACGAACAGCACAGCATGGTGCGTGGGAAGGACTGGACCCCTTCTTGTCCAAAGGAGGCCCCCGAAACTGCGTCACTCGTGCGTCGCTCAAGTGAATGAATGGATTCTCTTGTGGGGGGGGGTCATTCCCTCATTCTCTACGAGTCCAGTCAGGGAGGGTCCAGGACTCGCGTGGAGCTCGAACCATCCAACGCACCAACACATCGAAAGAGCCGTCCTCGATTCCTCGATGCGTTCGACGGAGTCATACCAGCTATCTGGATGATGTTTCAACCTCCGAGGTAGAAGAGCTTTTACAAATCAACCTCCCACAGGTGGTATGGTTTCTTTTTAAATCAAGAGTCTATGCACGTTCGCCTGCAAAGAAAATGAAAGTTTGCTGAAGTTTGTATCAGTGTCTAAAAACCAGAGTCTCCTTTCACCGAGAGCTTTTGGGGGTCTCCGTGTTGTCAGCACACCCCAATACCCCATGAGCAAGTGCCAACCCCGAGCAACCCCCCTGGTGCCGTCGTTCGCCCTAGCAGCCACCATGTCCTGCCTAAGAAACCTTACGAGGGATGGCAGTCACTGCCAGGGTTGCATAATATGTGTCCAGAGTTTCGGACACCACAATGGCAGTTAGGGCTTTGCTTATGACTCATGACTCATGACCCATATGAGGAATGTTCGTCAAAAGCAAGTGCTCCCGGAAATGAGACTGGATTGGTAAATAGACATAGGGGCTCATTTCCCCATGTCAGCCAATCTCCGTCACGAAAAAGAGATCTCAAATCTTGGACCATGCCACAGGTGCTTTCCTTTTGGCCAACAAAGCCCATTGTTGCACAACTTCATCGAGCATCTCCTTAGACAACCACAGCAACCAGTCGAGCGCAACCACTTCATCTGCATAGTAATGCATAGTACATGAGGTTCATCCATTCAAAGAACCACGCGCACTGTGTTCACTCCCCACGGAGCCACCACACCTCACGTGGGGCATCGCCACCCACGAGCACCTGCGCTGGCACCGGACCGGAACCACCCTTTGAGAGTCAAGAAAATGAGAAAATCCCATGGAACCCGTGGTCACCCTAGGCCAATGATCTCACCTGCAACCAACCTCTCACCGAGTCTGCGCCCGATGGGTTTCACCGAGCTTGATTCGGAGCTTCGTGCCGTTTTTGTGGTTCCACTGGTAAAAACGGTCAAAACAGATCCTGAACGTCACCTGAAGAAACACTAAGATATATATAGTATGTATAAGTGAATATTCGCATTCTACCAGCTGTGGGTCCACTGCTTGGTAGGACTTGCAGGAGCGATTCAAAGTTCCACGACAAAACTATGTAAAGATTTGAAATGAATTTCCACCGGTATATAAATCTCCATGCAGCCCCTATAGTACCCTTGATTCTTCCCTCAGCTACTCTGGAAGAGGATCTTCGAAAGTAGTGGTGCCCCAATAGATAGAAGTGACGTCCAATTGTCCAATAATCCATGCAATAGATTGCTTTTTGGAAGGGATGAACACTGTTCGATCTATTCTGGCGTGGATTCGATTGTCCAAGGTTTTAAAGAGTCCTCGAGGTCGGTTTTCGGTCCCTACCCCGCCTGCCAACTCGCAGCTCCGAACCACTCCGGTGTCTCCGAGCCGTACGGCGCGGCTGCCCGACCACCGATCCCGATCCGTGGGTCGCCTTCGTCGCCGGCCAGGGCTGGGACGGGAGCAACTTCCACCTGCGGATGTCCAGATCAGTGTGAAACGGTGCGATTCCCAGATGACGTGGGACGGTGCAGAAATGTGTTTCACCGAGATGTTCGGCCGGATGGCTCGATGTTTTCGACATGAAAAAGACCACTTCAAAAGACAAGGATGGACCGATACCTGGGCATACAAAGGTCTTTTCGTCATCGGAAAGGACATGAAAAGATCCAAATCATCGGAATCAAAAGACAGACCACGGGTAGTTTGTCCATCTGTCAGATTTCTATGCTTTCTAGACAAGAGTGTTGTCCATTCTTCTTTCAAACAACACAGCAACAGGAGTGTGCTTTGCGCGTTTAAGATTTCCTGGTACCTGGGAATTGGGATCTTCTTTGGTTGGTGAAAACAAGAACAATCCCAAGAAACATCATGAAACATCTGAGTTCGGGATCACATCGGATCACCATTCCAAGTGGGATGAACGTGGATTGCTACAACCTCTCGGTCGCCATGATGTCGTCTTCGCCTGTCTCTCACGTTCCCATGATGTCCTGAAAAAGAATGGGTGTGTAGCTTCTTGCTACTAGCAACAAGTGCATTGCTACTAGTACGTAGCAAATAGCTATACTATACTAGCTTCTTGCCACAGTTGAGTAATGCCTTGTTACTAGTAGCGATGAACTGTCTACTCTATCAAAATAGGGAGGAGACCTCCCAGTTCGACCCCCTGGCAGGTTCGGACAATATTTTTCGACCAGTCTACCCATCGGGGCGGGTTGGGGGGTCTACCTATTCAACTACCCTCACATTCATCGAAGAAACAGCGACATGGCACCCTCCCACCGTGGATCTGCAAACGATCCACCTGACCAGCCACCCACAGCGTGCCCCTTTGCGGAAGGGGTGGGAGAGCCGGGGGTTCGTCGTTCGGTTCGCCGTTCCGCCTGCCACCCCCACTGGGTGGGCGCCAACGTATGCTATGGGCAGGAGTTGAGGAGGCCTCACAGGTCAGGACGGCACGCAGGTTGCCCTTATTCAGTCGTACCGCCGAGGCGAGCAGTTCCCCCAAATCAGGAACAGCAGGTACCCAAGGATGACCCGGTGACGTTTCTGCACCAGAGCAAGTTCACCAGTGATTGATTGACTCATCACCCAGGCGTTCAATGCCAATGCCACCAGGATCACCGGATCCCGACACACACGGCAACACCTCCACCCTGCAATGATCGCCTCCGCAATGATCTCCTGGCATGAGCGGAGCGGAGCAATCCACGCCGTTCCGGTGCCCTGAAAAGAGAAGCCACCCTTAGGGTCTCAAGGGCTCTGACAGGGTCGGAAGAAGTGGAAGACTCCCTGCTGACCTTCCTGAGAAAACGTGTTATATAAGTGTCTCAAAGTCCAAGTGGCGGAGATGTTCTCCAAGCCAAAAGGCCAGGGGGAGCTGTCCAGCAGCAGCAGCGGCATGTTGGGCGACCTGGTGGTTTCACCGCCGCGGGTCGCGGGTCGCGGCGGCTCCGCTGGGCCATTGTACCATGCGGCGGTGAAGCGTGTGGCATGTGGGTGTGTGGCACACCTCTGATCCCACTTAATGAATCGACCTTCGAAGAGCTGCAATTTGCATGGAAAAAGACCCGAAATGCGCAAACGTGCCTCTCGTACACAAGGAGAAGACGGGTGGTTTGTAGGAAGCCACTTTCAGTGACCAAAGACTCGACTACTCAAAGTGAATTGATGCAAGAAATCTGGCACCACCTGGGAAAGACCTGGAACCCCAGAAACAGGCCCAAAAAGTGATGCCCAGCACCAACCGAATGTCCTCCCGAAACCTGGGAAACCCCCGAGGTTTAACACCGAGAATTCGTGGCAACTGGGGTGAAAAGCAGCAAGCCGGCCAGGCCTAGGCCTTTTTTTTTGGTGCTCAGATCTGGTGAAGAAAACCATGCTGAGAATGAGAAAACTTGCTGAGAAACTGACGCAGAAAAGCCACCTGATTGCTCCATGCGATGCGCCATCGGTGCCCGTGGTGCCTCCACAGGGTCTGCAAGACCCGCAGCCACTCGCGCTGCTGCACCTGCCAACCAAGGGCGCTTTTAACGCCAAATCCTTCAGTCAAAGTCAAAGCATCAGAAATAATGTAAGGCACACCTCAGCACTGTGGCCTCGAATGGTTTGCCAGTCGCCAGAATGAACCACAGCTTGGAAATACTGAGCAAATCTGAGCAATATGTATATAGTTAGATATACACCGCATTCTTGTGGTTTACTGAAAAGGAGTTGCAGGCACAAGCACGTGAGTGATTGAAGATGCTGCGATACGAATGTGGAGTTTGCAGGTCTCAGAGAAGAAAGAAAGCAGCCCTCGATGTGATGGCAGCTACACATGTCTGTTGATGGCACCAATTGTCCATCCATCTTCTGTGGCAACCAATTGCAATCAACCAGCGGGTCATGTCCGACGTGGTGGCCCAGTCTGTGCAGATGCAGATGACGGTCCGTTTTTTTCGGCTCAGCGCATGGCCTGGAAGGTTCCATCCAGCAGCTCCACGGAACATCTCTTGGAATTCATGTCGAGGGCCTCAGAGAACACAGCGAATAAACTTGAATGTTGAGGTCTAAAGTCTAAACCCACTTTGAGTTGAAAAAACACTGGACAATTTGTAGTGCAGCATCCCTCAACTGACGCCCGCATCTAGACGCTTGGACGGTTGGCTGATTTTCTCGGCCTGGCAGACTTTCAGACGCCGCAGCATAGTCTGCTCGGACCAATGTCAGGACCCTTGACAAAAGTGACTGCAGACCTCGCCGAGGCCCTGCGCCGCTCTTCTGTTCCGCCATGCAAAGCAAGGATCTGGCTGTCCGACGCCAAGATTCATTGCATTGATGCATGTATATTAGGGTCGAAGTGGTCGTTTCATGAGATGGGACCGCATCCTCCCTGCGTGCCTGCCTCGACCAGCTGGAGGGCTCGAGCAGCTCAGGCTCGGGTCATTGTACAGTAGGCGTTCGATTGGTTTGGCCACGATTACGAGGCTCGTCTACCAGGCCACGCTGTGTCCTTAGAGGTGTGAGAGAATTGCTGCACCTGCCACAACATCATGAAAATGAGGCCCACTGCCACGGATGTCTGGTACACGAAGATGCCGCCTTTGTGCGACTTCAATCCAAAAGTTCACGATTCACCTGGCCTTTACACTTACTGGCAGCACCCCGCAGTGCGTAGCGAGTCTTTGTGAAACAAAGCCTTTTGTAGACTTTCAGTGTCCTTGGTTTATTGAGCCACTACCAAATCGTAGGGAGTGTTTGGCAAAGTCTTATATAGGTTATTGAGAGTAGATGGCACAGACCCCAATGTCGGTGGTTTATATGGACCCCTATCTGTCTAGGACATCATGAGGTCTGTGCCATCGAACCTCTGAAACCGCTGTATAACATATGTTCCCAAGAACAACAGAGCTTCAATGGGGTCAAGGGAGCCAGGAGAAGCTGTCATTGGTAGGAACCCCTTGCTACCACACAACCAGTGCTCACACAACCACACAACCCTGAACTCCTACTGTGCTCACTGAAATGAAACTCGTTGGTCTGAAAGGCCCAGTGCCATGTTTTTTCGTTAGGGAGTGGGGGCTGCTCTGTGTTCAGCAGAATGTTGTCGATGGATATGCTGTTCTGTTCCATTCAGAATCGGCTGGTCCAATGTCTGTGGGCTGTGGTGATTGAATTGGGAAACCACTTCAACAAAACCCATTGACTGGACTGGTAGAGAAGCTAGACTTAACCCCACCCCTCATTTCAGTCAAAGGACCTCCTCTTCCAATGTTCACCTTCACTTCTCTAACCATCTGAAATCATCTACACCCGTGGCCACCAGTGTAAGCGGCCAAATCGTCATGGATTTGGGTGTTTATATCCCAAATTACCAGGGGCCCAGTGGATTCTTCTTTTTGGGTTAGGTTGCAGGCGTTTCTTTAGAAGAGTGATAGTCTTTGGACATAGTGAATCCATCATCCACGGCACAGGTGTAGCCCTGGTGTAGCTGGGCGGCGTCCCACCGGTGCGAATTCAACGTCGCCGTCCCAGCGGCGATGCGCAGCGCCACGGCCAAAGCCTCGAGGACACCGGGTGGTAGGTCACCAGGGTGGAACAGGACCGAAAATGACCCGTGCCCATCTCGCGCCATGGAAAGGGACGAAGACGTGGATGATTTGGGGAGGTTGCATGGTGTGTGTCTTGGACGGCTTCCATCCTAACATATCCCAACCCAAGCTCTTGGAGTTTGCTAGAAGCAAATGTGCATGCGCTGCGAAGATTTGTCCTTCTGAGCTGAACCAGCGCGCATGAATGTGGAAAACACCTGTGTGTAAAGGAAAGTCACCTTCCAACTCACCATTTGTCACGTCCATGCTAGTGAGTCAGAGTCAGTCAGAGTGTTTGAAAAGAGTATATAGTGGCAACTCTTTATCTGTATCCCGAACTTACGTGCTAGGATGTTCGTACGATTCATATGCGTCCATGTTCGATGGAGTTGGCTGGAGAGTTAAACTAGCTATATAATTATATACTTATATACCAATATGATCAGCCTCACCTCCTGAACTCTTGGACTGTCATCAGCCACGTCCAGTCTCTTTTCTCACTTGGCCTTGTGCGTTTCCGTACCCCACGCGCCGCGCCCTCCGGGAGCCCCAAGCGTTCACGTAGCCAAAGAGACAAACCCCTCCCGCAGAGCTTAGCCTGATAGTTTTCAGGTCGGGCAGGACAAGAAGTATGTGACCAGAGGTGGCTAAAGTGGGTCTGGCTGAAAACATAGGGTGGGGTTTTTATGCCGGGTTAATGGGGAGACCCCCGATCGGCCCAGACTGGATTATGCTCCTTCTTCCAAGGTCCTTTCGTGGTCTCCTTATTTTCACATCCACCCATATACCGTCCGATCTTCAACTGTTGTATATGTCATGTTGTTTCTGGGAGTTCTACACGAATGGACGAAGCGGCATTGAAACAATCAAGCAGAAACCCTTGTTGCCTGATGTTCGTGGACATGTCAAACTTGTGAGGCGATGGCCATGACAAACCCACATGGCAATTGGTCAAACATCAGATGTCATAAGATCTTGACACTCGACTCAGAAGATCGCCCGAAACAAACAAAAGCAAGGACACGTCGCCGTAGAAGTCAAAGCAAGGAACAAAGATGTTTGAGCGCAAGAGTTGCTAAAAGCTTTGGATGGACCACGGTGCTTCTACGACAAAACAGATTGTGATGATCGCATGTTGTACCGCGTGCCCTTGAATGTTGATTGCTCTTTTGAGACAACAAGCATTATCAAGCACGATACCTTTGCAAACCAAACGCCAGCTGCCTTGGAAGAATATCTAATCTAATCAAAAAAGGCCATTTGGAACATTCCTCACCTCCACGACTCACATCCCATGCGCAGCTAGGCCCCGGGCAGCTTCAAGGCCGAGTTGGTGGCATTCACTTTCTTCAAGACCTGTTTGCTTAGCGCACAAGCACGAGCCAAGGCCTTGAAGCAAGGCAGGAGTGTCTGTTTTCGAGGGTGAGAAGGAAGGGCTCGAGATCGACTAGCTTTGTCTAGATAGCTCGGCTGCCCCAGAGCTTTTCAAGCTCGCTTTTTCCCGCGTTTCGAGCCATTTGTGCGTTCGCGGATCCGTGCCGTGGCGAAGTCTTCGCCTTCCTGGCATAGACGCCTGCGAGCCAGGCGTTCTGCTGCGCGTGCCTTCATCCATAGGCACCAACGCAAGAGGGTCTTGAATTTCCGGATCAAGACCAAGCTTCTCAGGCTTAGCACCTTGCTGCTTTCTCACCACTCTCAGCCACGTTATCGCTTCGATTTCTCGGCAGAGAACCACGGCATGACATGGAAGTCTCAGAAGGAGTGGAACCCACGTGCTCAGGAATGGCGACAGTCATGGCCAAGAGACACCAAGGGCGAGAAGGAGAAAGCCAAGAAGCAAAAAGACCAAGGCAGCGAGAGAGGCCACTTCTTCTTCGCTCACGATGGCCGAAAGGTGCAAGTCCCACATGGGCCAGGCACATCATCTGCTACCTCCTCGTCATCATCTACGCAGGCTATGATCGAAGAGAACAAGAAGCTCCGAGATGCACTGCGCAATTTGGTGGACAAGGACCCCAAAGATGGGGATCCGTCAGTTGTCGAGGAGTGCAAGAAGCTGGTGCACGACCCACGGGAGGACCTGCGAGTGAGACAGCGAGAACTCAACAAGGAGAAAAAGGCCATTACAAAGCGACAGAAGATCGAGCAGACCATCAAAGAGAAGCAGGACAGTTTCCAGGCATGGAGGGCTGGCTTCATGGAAGGTCTCAAAGGCGAGGACGCGCGACATCTAGAAGAGGTCGAAGCTTTGAGAAAGGAGCTCAAAGAGACCACAGAGGACGAGGAAAAGATGGACGAAGAAGAAGAGACGGACAGGGACAAGGGCCTTGTCTTCCAGGAGCTAGCGGAAGTCAAGCATCGTATGAGCTACATGGCGAGCTATGTAGAGGCGATGGAGAGGAAGAACCAGCAGCTGGTCTCCGAAATGAGCAGCCAAGTGCAGTCTCTAGTCAGTGCAATGCGCACGACACATCAGCAGGAGCTTTACAACAAAGAGTCTCCGCAGATTGTCAAGCCACCAAGCAGAGTCGCCTTGGCTGTTGGTGGAGGCGAGACGACTGGGAGGTCGGATCGGTCAAGATCTCCTTGCAAGAAGACCGACAAAGAAGTCGAGGAGGAGAATGCATTGATGGAAAAGGAAGAGCTTTTCCAGCGCATCCTGAAGGATGTCCCAATGGAGATCTATGTGGAAGTGAGGGCCATTGTCGAAGCAGAGATAGCCGCATATCAGACAAAGGAGCAAGTGGACGACTTGGTTCGACACATGATTGCACAAGCCAAAGCGCTACCACCAGCAGTGAGCCTGGATTCGCTGGATTCACCCAGCGAGGTCCCAGGCGTGATCCGAACAGTACTGCAGCCTTTTGGTGGACCAAGTCATCCATACAGGAAGATCGAGAAGAACAAGGAAGCGAAGCCTTCAGAGGCTGCGAAGTAGCTGCAATGAAGGGAATGCAACGCCGCATCTGCAAACTACAAGGTGCATGTGCGGAGAATGGGTATGAGATCTCTATGCCTTTTGCTGATGATCATGCCGCTTTCTTTCGAGTGTGCGCCGTCTTTCAAGGCAGCACCTATACGAAGCCAAGATCCTTTGTGCTCACAGGTCGATTTGATGCCAGTGAGACCCTTTTTCCGGCAAAGCACAGTTTTCTTGCCGTGAACTCCGTAAGGCCATTTTGGGATGATGGGAACCTATCTTTTGGGGCTGATAGAAACCCACAACCCTCTTATAGTTCCGGGGGTGAAGGTCTGGTAACGGATGAGCACCCTTGTAACATTTTTGTTCCGAATGGGCATAGATGCTTATCGTTTCATGATGATCATGACGATCATGCGGAACTATGCCATGATGTTCCAGGTATGAATGAGAGACGGTTTGAAGATGATGTGACAGATGTCCTTGAAATAGCCAGTGACACCTGGTGTGGAGCTAGGTGTCCTTTTCCTTTGCTGGCCTTCTACTGTGACCTCTGGAGCATTTGGGAGTTGAGCAAGCTTTACATCAACGGCATCATGCTATTTGGGGCTTTCGTTGGACTTGCCAGCTCTAGCTACGAGAATTTCGCCTATCTAAAAGAATGGGCGAGAGGCAGGCGCCTTTTCCTTGTTCCGCCACTGGGAGAGCTATCCTATGCTTTGAAGTGGCAAGCACTCAGTCTCTGTCTAAATCTCTCCATCCTTGAATTTGATGTCTCTATCGAAGAGAATGAAGGGGAGTCTCATAGACTTGATGGATTGGCGCTTTTGATTTTCTTGTGTCGAGCTCAGGGGATCCATTTGCTTGCATTAGGGTTTCTTTGCAACTGGAGAATCCGACGAGATGAAAGGTTGAAATTTCCAGCTCGAGCAAGATGGCATGGTAGGCGTTTTGCCTGGAAGACCAGCCGTAACACAGCCACCAGAAGACTGATAGCATGCTTTTTGCTTTTCAATCTACTTGGCAGTGAGGCAGCCGGCATTAGTACTAGACTTGCCGACGTACCAAGGGGAGACATTGATGGTCAGACCGTTTGGAATAATGTGCAGCAACCTTTTCGACCTTACGAGGTTTCTGCAGCAGAAGGCGACACAAGCCGAATTGAAGGTTACAGTGTCCATTTTGGAGTTGAGGCGAATTTTGAGGAGATTAGCAGACAAGATGCTGGATCCGGTTCTTCGATTGACCCCTCATGTGGATACTGTGCTCCGGGTGACCGTCGAGCAAATTCAGCGCTTTGCGCTGAGTGCAATTTTGAGCCAATTTTTGTGGAATGGAACATTACATTTGTTGCCAATCCGAGATCTGGCGAACGAACCAATACTGAGGATTTTACAAATGGAGAAAACACTGCAACTCCGCATGGCGAGGCTGATTCGACCACTGTTCTTGGCGAAGTAGAAGTGGATGTCTCCTCTCTTATGCACCAAGTTAGTGATTTCCGAAGATCAGAGCCATTTGCGATTGCTTGCGAAAGAGGACGACCTCTCTGGCCTGCACTGCAATTATCCAGAAGAGCATTCACCCCAATTTGGTTCCAAGAAGGGAGAGACATTGGTTTCGAATTCTTCAGATCTGCTCAAGGCGTATGGCAGAAGAAGGTTCTTGGCTGGAAATTTCTCACCTATGAACAAGAGATTGGGACTCCTTTTGGCATTCATCTTCTGCAGCGGGGGTTATGGGCTGCCCAACTTATCACACCATTTGAAGACGAGGATGTCCTCGTAGTCTTTTTCGTAGTGGTAACTCCACAGCCCCTCCTGACGTTCCATGTTGAACATGATCGAGGCATGCACGACACAGTTGTGCTTGCCATGAATCCAGAGACTTTCGCTTCTGACCATATACACTTGGTGATCCAGTATGCCATCGAAGGGACTTTGATACAGAATGCTCTACGATGTCCTGTGGCTTGTTCGCCAGTGATGATCTGTGTGGCTCTGGGATTACAAGAGCAGTGCCAAGACCCGTGGAGAGTTCGAGCATACTTCCGAATTGAACAAATCGAAAGAGTCTTTTGGGATTATGAACGCATTGGGCTGCCGAATGGGGCTTTTGCTCACTTGAGTTTTCATCCGTCAGAAGACACGTGTGTTCCAGAACCATCACTTCAGTTCCCATTACGTGAGCATGAAATGCTTATACGACCTGACTTTGATGATGCCCACAGTGCCATCTGGGAGCTGGAGACAGATCAGGTTGGTATGATGCAGGTCAGTCCTCCCATTCCTGACTTGGTTATGAGATATATAGCTGAATTTGGGGCTTTCGATGACACTATCGGCATTGTCTCATGGCTGCACATGGATGTGATGATTGACAGAACTGCCAGTGTCTGGCAGAGGGCTCAATACAGCAACCGATTCCCTGGTGGACTCTTCGTCCGAGGAATTTGGGATAGGGCCCTAGCAATGCAGAGCTGTTATGTCTTCCCAGTTCGGCCTGCTCCTACATTTGCTGAGGGTCCAGTACCAAATTTTATCGTCACCAACTTTGAAGGGGAAACCCTTTTTCCAACGCTCCTGCTGTATGTTACAGAAGCTGATCGAAGGCTATTCACATTTGTCTTCCAGGTGCAGAGATGGCCAACGATGCTGGAGGTCTTTGATGCTACTGTACCCGGACATGGATGCGTATGGGATTCTGACTGCAGTATCAGAATGGGACCCTATGATGCTGAGCGAACTCTGGTGTGGGACATGCAGGTTGCGCTGTATGAAGGAGCCTATCTCAGACTCCAGGAATTTCGACGAGGTCAAATTGCAGTGCCTGTGGCTGCAGACCCAGGAACGACCTGTGGAGAGACTGAATCAGGGTCTTCGTCAGATGGGTCGGATTCATGGGAAAGTGGCTCTACACTCGACTCTCCTGAGAATAATCCCAATGACACTGGCGGAACGGGTGAGCATGGGGATGAGATTGAACTCCGACAACATGCAGTCAATTTGATGCAATATGCCTGGGAAATTGAGATGGCCAAAGATGAAGCGGATTTCTTGGCGGGAGCTCAGGCCTTGTCCGGGAATATCCTCGATGATGCCAAGTATCCGGAAATGTTGTTTTTGAAGGTCCAGAATGGAATGGAAGAAGAGTCTAAGGCAGACGAGCTCCAACACTATCTGCGCACTCGCTTCCCTGTTCATGAACTTCCTACCTTCACCGTGCATTTCTGGATAGTCGATACCGAAATTGCTACTTTTGCACGAGTGCTACCGCTCTTTTCTGGCAGATCGATGACGGACTCCATGAGAAGGGAACTGCAGCACAGTGATGAAAGTGAATCATTCTGGGTCTCGGCAATTGACCCCATGCCTTCGCCATTGACCTTACGGATTTGCCCACTGGACCTAGTTGTCTTGTCCGCAAAACAGAAGAGTGATCACAAGCGAATCTATGTCGTGGATATACTTTTTCGAAGTCTGCCTCGGCGTGTTGCATTGATCTACCATCACGGTGAGCGGCTCCAGGATCTGGTGCGAAGAGCTGGGCTGCAAGAGGCTTGTATGCGTCACCACTGCATCCTGTCCAAAACCACGACATTCCAAGTCCAAACCTGGCAACTCCATGAGATAGTTGATGAGAGACATGGAACCAGCTTTGAACTACATTTCCACGAAAAGAAGGGGGTGGAA